AAAGTTTGATAAAAAATATTATGTTCGAACAACAACTTTTAAATGAGCTAAAAATAGCACCGTTTGAATAGAACCGCGAATTTAAGTTCTTTGAAGGGGAAATAATCACTTTCGAGCAAGACTGAACACAGGCTGTCATAAGATCATAGAATACCAGTAGAATTCACGAAAAAAAACTATAAGTAAATACGGAAAAAGCCTCCTTTGAACAGGCGCTCCTCATTTGCTAATGGGCCTTTAGCAATTAATTATTATTGCGAATGCTAATTATTCCAACACTAGTAGGCTATTTTCTCTTTGCGATATTTTTACTTAGTTGCTGGTAACACTAGACGACGCACGCACGCATACTACATCCGCCGCGCCGCCATCACAGATTCACCGTTGTATGCCGCCATATTGAGTCTCTTTGTGCATCGTAGTAAGCGTAGCAGCACATTTTTGACTGGAAATACTGCAGAAGTGACGCTTTTTAAAATAGTGATAGTGACAAAAACATTTGTGTGTTTAGTGTGAGAATAATATAGATCAAAATGAGTTACGGTAGGCCTCCGCCTCGTATTGACGGCATGGTGTCGTTGAAGGTGGACAATCTAACGTACCGCACAACGCCCGAAGATTTACGGCGTGTCTTCGAAAGATGTGGTGATGTTGGCGACATTTACATACCCCGAGATCGTTACACACGTGAAAGCCGAGGATTCGCATTTGTCAGGTCTTTAAAACTCTCATCATTACTTCATGATGTCATCATAAAAATACCACGCTTGAATCCTCGTATGACTTTAAATCATTGTTTGTATTAAAGGTTCTACGACCGGCGCGATGCTGAAGAAGCTCTCGACTCTTTGGATGGGCGCATGTTGGATGGCAGGGAGTTGCGAGTCCAAATGGCTCGTTACGGTCGACCGTCATCACCATACAGAAGCCGATACGATCGTCGGCGGAGGTAAGTTCTATGTTTCTGTGCAAAAGTTAAGTTGTAAGAAGCCTCTGATTGAAATTTTACAATTGTTAATTCTTACACTGATCATTTGTATTTGTTTAGTTCGCAAAGGACAAGTGTTGGAGTCGACATCCAGAACTGCTAATAGACAAGTTGACCCTTTAGCATGGGACATTGTTCATGTAGATGTGTGATTGGTATTTCTTTTAGCAATTCCCGTTCACGGTCTCGTTCACGTCGTCGATCCAGGTCCCGTTCGCGGTCGCGGAGGCGCTCGTACTCGCGTAGCCGCTCGCGCTCGCGCTCACGTTCCCGCTCCGACTCCAAGAGTTCGCGTGGCCGTTCCCGCAGCCGCTCCCACTCGCGTTCCCGCTCCAGACACTGAATGGTTGGGTAAGAACTGCCATATTACTTTAATATTGTACTTATTTTTAATCTTCTATTAACATAACATATTACTCCACCGCACGTTATGGTAATGTGAGTCATACTTTTTGGTCTAAGCCACATCCAACATGACTAGAAATAGTGACAGTTATGTATTTTAGGAACTACATTCTGTCAATAAGCTTTTACTATTACCTAAATAAAGTTAGTAACCAACTACAGTGATGTGCATTCTATGGAGACTAATTTCAAAACATAGACAAAAGTTAGTCTTGGTTTAAACCAAATGTTATCTCTATTTTCTTTTTAGCAAACAATAGTGACAGCAGCTGTAACTTAAGTCTATGTTTTGTAATAAAGCGGAATAGCTTTACTTAACATCAAACTTCAGAAACACTGCAAATTTGGTCAAATATTTTGAATTGCCAAAAAAAACTTATACTTTTGTATTCAGATTAATGTAGGACCCATGTTATAAGAGTATTTTTCATTTACAGGTTGAGAGTACCTATTCTTAGCTGAAGTGCTGTACCACAAGAGCCAGCAGCCTTTGGCCAAGGTACTAAAATTTATCCTTCTCCCTAGCCATTCAAGACCTAACTATGATCAACATAGTGGCAAATATTCAATGTAACAAATTATTTTTTAAGTTTCTTAGGTTATTGTAATGTAAGAAAGAATCTACATGATTTTTCATTTTTTTTAAATTAAAGTAATCTTGTATTAATTTTGTTTGTCAATGTACTTCATTTGGAACAAATTGTCACAGTATATAACATTATTTGACGACAAAAATCAGTTTTATAAACTTAAATTACTCCTGTATATCAAATGTCACTCTGCTATTTAGTTGAGTTCACTTATTTTGTAATATTGTAAACTGTGCTAGCTTATAATATTATGATTAACTAAGAATTGGGTTTGAGTTTGAAACCATGATGGTTGATAGATGTAATTTCAGGTGTTTATCAAAATTTTGCAGCAGATCATTTTCAGCAAGAGACATTGGGCTAAATTGGGAAATAAATTGAGACAACCTCATAATGTGGTAAATAGCTTCAATTGACCATCTGAATGAAGTTATTAATCATTATTTTATTATAAATATTGAATAGAATTAAAGTTTTTCGCTAAAATAAACACCTCGTATACAATATAGATATCTGCTCATGTGGACAGGAAGCTTACCAAATCTCTCCATCCTATTCCATCATGACATGCTAGCCTGTTCACAGGAGCGTTACTCTTGTAATTATTCATAAAAACCTTTGTAACCTGAATCAAATAAAATTAATATTAATGTTGGTATGCTCAGGGCGTGTGGAGTACGCGGGGAGCGAGGCGATATGCGGGGAGGGGGGGTTTGCTGTTTGCTGACAACTGCTGTTTTGCTGTTGTTGCCGTTCATTAAGTTATGAGTAAAACTTTTATACTTATTGAAAAACCGAGACACGCATAATTTACCTTAAATACAATATTAATTTATCAAAATACAATAACTTCGTATTATATTAAAACGCGTCAATAAATTCAATAGAAATTTGACACTGGACCATTTCATTGTAAAAGCCAACAAATGACAAATTAAAGTAGGGAGGACTCAGATAATCGACTAATTCAAGCGTTTGTTTGGCAGGCCGGTGCTGCTCGCTGGCCTGTTTGCTGTGGCAGTTTCCTGTGCTGATTCCTGTGATTTGCAGATTTCTCGCGTCTAGGTTTATCGGTAACAACCGGGAGCAGAAACACCCACGCCCTCCCTGGCCTCCCCCATTCACAGAACGAGATCACTAAGTACATTAATAGTATTTTGTTTTTTAATTTTTTGTGTTAGACTAGAATAATCTTTACATACACGTCACTTAGAGTCCATTTCTTAAGGATACCCGCCCTCTAAAACGATCTTCGGGAGAGAAGAAACTTCATCAGCCGCCGGATTCTGTGTACTTTAATTTTTATGTGTAATAATAAATATCTGATAAACAATAATGATGATGTTTTTATTATCTACTAGATGACCCGTTGTACTTCGTATCACTTAGCATTAAAACTCTCCCTTTGCTAAAATGCCTGACACATCAAATGTTGGACAAGAAAGGAGGTAGAACAGTATGAATGGGAAGATGGTTTTTACATTATTACTATCTTCCTTGCAAATTTTCTATATTTTCTCATCGTTGAAAACCTTCCCTGGACTATGATAAAAATTTCAAAATTGGCCCAATCGTTCTCGGGTTATAACGAGACACAAACCACAATAATTGATTTTGTATATGCATAGATATTAGCGGATGCCCACGACTTCGTCCGCGTTGACTTTACTAAAATCATGTATTACCGAATATTGTTATAAATTAAACTCATTTCTAAATATTCTCTGCTTTCGGCAGGCCCTTTTGATAATCAGAGCTCGCGACACTAAACCTAGTATGATTAGACTCGTTTGTGCCTCAATATAAGGAAGGGGATAGGACAACGCGAAAACATACGCTTACGACCCCCGCGCAGCACCTGATTTACCTACAAGGTAATAAGGTTGGAGTCTAGGGGGCTGGTAGTGAGCGCGGCGCTGAATTGAAACTTATAATTTTGGGAAATTACCTACATGCATTAAAATAAAATTCCTGTATGCGCTCTCCCATAAACACATTAAAAACATAAATAGGAACAATGTCGTGGCCGAAACCCGTCCAGGTAATTGTATGATCCATGGATCTCCGTGGGACGCATAGAGTACATTGTGGGACGGTCGCATAGCTAATAAAAACAATAGTCCAATCACTTTAGGGAAAAAAAAGAGGTCAAATTCGGAATTTGAGATAATAAGCTGGAAACTCGTGTATGTACAGCTTCATTTTGGCGTTCTGAAAGTTGTCTCAATAGTCTCATATTATCTCGTGTCTAAAGTTATTCGAAGTCAAAGGTCACGAAAATCGTTTTTTTTTTGCAATTATCTCCGTTTCTATGGTTCTAATCACTTCAACACCTATTAAGAAAATTAGAGACAAAAATTTTTCAGCTTTTCCAAAAGTTTCCAGCACATTATCCCAAATTCCAAGTTAATAATTATAATAGGAATTTAAGGTGAGGTCTAAATAAATAGATTGTAAAAATAAGTGTTGGAATTATTTGGTTCCTTTCGTCTTTAGTTTATCAACTTACCGACAGTTTGATATAATGATGTTAGGCTACGTAAACTCTCTTACGTACTTTTATTTTAATTAGTTGCACCTATAGGTGAATGAAAAGACAGGACAGGCTGGGGCGCATATTCATAGTAAGTTTAGGGGGCGGTAAGAACTCTTAAATCAGGCACTGCTCCGCGAATGCTAAGCATTTCATTTTAAAACCTATTCTAAGGCGCAAAATTCAAATGAATAGTAACAAGTTTGAAATAAATGCGCTACAGGCGAAAATACATGCGCCAGTGTGAGTTGGGCCTTATGAGAGGAACCGCTCACACGTAGGGTTCAGCGCTTCACTGTACTCCTATAATTATTTGTGCTCAGGATGGTTATTCAATCAATTTGAAAGATAAGAAAACTAATATATAACACAGGTTGGAAGCAGCCTTATTTAAGTAGTAAAAAGCTTTAATTAGTTGGTTTTGAAACAACTATTCACTAATGTTGGATATGTGTTTACGGGATTGAGTGGTTATCTACGGCCTTCTAAGGTACTGAGACTGTTTAATTTTTGTAGTTATCACGAAAAAGGGCATATAATATTACATATAATTGCTGTAGCCATCTAAGGTAGCAGCAGCTCCCTGCTGGGCTGACTTATAAAACAAAAATTATAAATAAAACCAATTTTACATATAAAATTTTATGATGTAATTTTAAAATTAACAACAAATAATCCATTCTTTGCATTTCCTAGTTTGAACCATCTGCCTGATTTGTGTTCCTGACCTACAGCTGCATACAATTGGGACATATCACTAGTAAAATGCATACAATTTATAAATCCATTCACTTCAATACTAAATAATGGTGTGATTTTCTTGTATGCATCACTAACTTTCCATAATCTTATATTATTATCATAGGAGCCAGATGCAAAAACATCTGTATTCAGTAAAGTAGCTATGCTAGTGATCCAACGAGGAATATTATTTTCAGTGCCATGAGCCTCAAGCACAGTACATAAAGGTTTTTTCTTTAATACACTCCAGATACACAGGGAGCCATTATCACTACCAGATACAAAATGTTCTTCATCCAACAGTTTGACTTCATCTAAACTACCCATAGGCCCATTGAATATCAACTGTGACTCTTCAACTATCTTCCATATACGAACTGATGAGTCTCTTCCACCAGATGTAATGGCCCTTTCTCTTGTCAGTGCATCAATAGACGTTATAGGAGTTTGGTGACCAAAAAGAGTTTCTACATAAGACATTTCATCCAAGGACCAAATTTTTACAGATCGGTCTTTACTAGCAGAATATAAATCGTGTGTATTCTTTCTGAAAACTAAACCTGTTACAGAGTCTTTATGACCTTTAAATGTATATAAATGTTTCAATGTGTTAGGATCCCACACTTGGATGAAACTTGACTGATCTCCACTTACCATGTATTTTGAATCTGTTGATAATGAAATTGATGTTATGCTGCCCTTAATTTGATTAGCATGCGTTTTATGAGATAAACATCCTAACTTTCGTTTCTCTCTTAAGCCCCATTTAATTATAGTACCACATTTACTTCCAGAAAATGCAAATTGGCAATCATTACTCACACAGACACAAGTGAGGGATAAACGATGATCCCTGACACATATCAATCTACAGTCTCTATCAAGAGGCGGTATGAAATTATCAGCAGCTTCTAATTTTAATTTTCCTTTCAGTTCAAGATAATCTCTCTGAAGGCGTTTTTCAATAACGTCGTCGGTTTGATTAAGTTCTGCCCTTTTCGCTTCTTCTTTTTCGATTTCTTCTAAATATTTTTTCGCTAATCGAAGCTTTTTCTGTTCAGCAGTTTCTTGGTCACTATCTGATCCCTCAGCATCCGAAAACTTTTTGATATCAAGATCACTTTCGGAAGACTCATGACCATTTTCTAGGTTAGAATCAATTCTCTTCTTCGGTTTTCTTTTAATTTTTTCACCTTTTCTTTTATGAACTTGTCGAGGCTTTCCTTTTAAAAAGAATGAAGATGACATTTTTCTCAAAAATATTATATTTAGTATTATATACAATTATTGCAAAAAAGAAGGATGATTTATGTACACGTTGGGCACTTGTTCCCAGTGTTGCCAGTACCTGCGTCGTGTTTCGGACGATTCGAAATCTGAAAAGGGACGATTTTTAGTCAAAAAGGACGGCCCTACAGAAATATTAAACTAAAGGCTGAACTATATTTATCTTACGTGTTGTGTTGTGGCGCGATCTGGTTCATACATTTAGTACGGTTAGCACTAAGAACTATACAGAAGCAGATCTCTATTAATAAATTTAGACATATTAAAATTGACAATACAGTTAAGAAATGTGTATTTATTGCTATTTTGGACATTTTGCTTATTTTTCTATTAAAATTTTGACTATTAGTATAATTGACAATGGCTTATCAAATTTATAATTAATTTATAATCTACTTTGACATGCATGTAACAATAGACAATTTCAAATTATATTCATAAATTGTGATTCCAATGTAAAAATAATAGTACTTCTTTCCTCTATTTGTATACCTTATCTATTTGTATACCTTAATTAAGGTGGAAATGTAGTGATACTAACAAAAATTATATATACCATGTATACTAACCTATGTTTCACAAATAAAATTCTGAAATTCTGATTCTGATTAAACCTGTGTGTCGCGATGTGTCGACAGCGTTCTCACATTAACCATAATTGTATGAAACAGATAGCTCTCTGATGTGTTACAATACAACACGACAGGTAAGTGTAGTTCTATTATAATGCGGTTAAATGAAAAGAAAAGCGAGTGTGCTTAGGAACACACGACTGGAAGTGAAATTTCTATAGCTCCAATGATCTGTAATTTGATAGAAAAAAACCGTCAATCCGCGCTGGGTCCGTTATCACACACCAATCCGTGCTGGGTCCGTTATCACCCACCAATTCGCACTGGGTCTATTGCCACCCACCAACCCGCACTGGGTCCATTATCACTCACCAATCCGCGCTGGGACCGTTATCATCCACTAATCCGCTCTGGGTCCGTTATCACCCACAAATCCGCGTTGGGTCCGTTATCATCCACCAATCCACGCTGGGTCCGTTCCGTTATCATCCACCAATCCGCACTGGGTCCGTTATCACTAGTGTTGCCCGGTCCGATTTGTTTTAAGTCGGTACATGAGGTGAAAAAAATCGGGACAGTAAACAAAAAACGAGGGTTTTTTAGTCTGGGTTTATTTTTTGCGATTTAAACCACTAGTGCAAGTATAGTATTATATTGGTGTCAATTCTGGCGTGATTCTCTAAACTTAAAACTAAATTTAACATCAGTCTCTCCTTTTCATTCTGTATAGAGAATGACCGGGATGCACTGTTGTCAAATTTAAGTTTAGCTTTAGAGAATTATGCCAGAATCGACATCAGTAATTACCTAACTTTCATTTTTTGATTCATCGGGTTATTTAGCGTCCCGATCAAGTACAAATCGGGACGCGTCCCCACACCCCTGAAAATCGAGACATCCCGCACAAATCGGGACACCTGGCACCACTAGTAATTACCCACCAATCTGCGCTGGGTCCGTTACCATCCACCAATCCGCGCTAGGTCCGTTATCCAGGCCACCTAGCCAAGCACTAGATTTATGTATTTTGTGACAGGTATTGTTCATTGTTTACCGATGAGTCACCGATGACACTAATCGTAACGCGAAATCGTAACTATTCGCCAGTTTACCCCCCAAGTCAAGCGTGCCTAAAGAAGTTTCACTTCAAAAAACATTTTAACAGAGTCATATTAATTATATTTTTTTGGGCACACAATAAACAGAAAGAAGATGGTACGGAGGACATAGGTACATCATGGTGGTACGAACGTATCGTATGTACTTACGACTTAACAAAGCAAGCACTTATTTTTAAGTTACCTATTATCTTTACAATTGAAATATAGGTACCTCAACAACAAAAGTTTTATTAGGTAAGATATGGTAGGTTATTGGGTTTGAGCTTTGAGTTGGTATATAGATATAGGTAGGTATTTGTTAAACGTCACCTTCGTAGCGAGCGTTGGATTCGATGTAGTTTACTGGGTGATTTGACGAATAGAGTTGACAATGTACAACGAATAGTGATGGCAATTTAGTGAAATAAATCAATGAGTGAAACGAAACGCATTCGTCTAATGTTGCAGTGAAGCGTTATCGAAAACGGACGGAAAAGGGACGGAATATGTAAAAGGACATCGATGGGACGCTTTGATGAGAAAAGGGACGAAAATCGTCCCTTTTGGGACGTTCTGGCATCACTGCTTGTTCCTTGTTGTTTAGCATCGGGAGCATGACAATGACAGACTACAGGCCAATGTTTCCACTTTAATGATTTCCTTTCCCCACGCCTCAAATCAAATTTCCCCTCAAAAAATATTCTGCTATAGTTTTTAGATTTGGCACTAGTGTAGTAACTAAAGAAAAAAAAGGTCTTAAACTATCTTATCCTATAACAGATAAATAAAATATATAAAATCTGCACGTGTTGCCATAGTTTCTTTTATACGGCAACACTCTAGTCCACGGTATAGTCCATAAAAAAATAAATTTGTTCCGTGCCGCATTATTTTAGGCTAGGCTTTACCCATAATTTCCCGCAATTTCCCTTTCTTCTTTTTTCATATCTTTCCCCTCTGGACCCTAACTTCCCCTTAAAAGGGGAATTTCTCCTCATTGTGGAAACACTGCTACAGGCTGATAGTTGTTTTTTTTAACATTCTCCCTTTTCCGAGAAGACAAAGGCAACAAAGCACATACAGTGTGAACTTAAGTTTCATTAATCTTCTTTTTTATATATAAGAATATCGGTTTGATGCATTCTTGTTTCTTCGAGTATTTGGCACGAAATGTATCGAGTTAGCTTTTTCGATAATATTCTATGAGGTAGTAAACACAGTAAAGTAATAAAGTTCTCACGTTCACTTGACCGGAATAGCGTCTATTTTAAAGATTCCACTAATTCTTCAGTTGCGCCTTAGACCATTAAACCACTGGACTAAGTACGAGCCTAATTTTACTCAGTGCAAAGTCTGTCACTTTTTGAGGGGGACGAGGTAAACCACTACATTAAAATAAACTCACACAGCCTTAGTTATTTGTATTGTTACAATCGCCTACAAATATATTTTTTCACCTACGCACACTAATGACAATCACACACAAGTAATCGTAACTAGGGAAAGTTCGGTATCGATATTTTAGTTTCCTTTAAATAACAATATCGATAGTTTTTCTTGTTCTCAAAGATTATTTTATAAAATAAAAATATGATAAAAATACGGAAAAAATTACTCCGGGTCTTTTAATACTCTCACTGGCACAATTACCCAATCACTTATAATTTTTGCTAAACTTAGAAAATCGTTTCGTGGGAGAAAATCTTAAATGTCATTTGTTTTATGTATATACGAGTATGTTCATTTCTTTTTATCTGTCAAACATAGGTACAGTCTTGTCCAGAAATGTGTGTTAAATTTAACGATTTCGACAATAAAAAATATTGTTACTAAGTGTAAATGGCCAGAGGTAAATTAGAATGAAATAAAAATACTTTAAGACATTAGAAGGCAAGTCGACAGAATCTGCACTACATGCAGTCGTAAGTAAAATAGAGGATAGTCTCAGACGGAAAGAGCTATGTCTGGGCACCTTTATAGACATAGAAGGCGCGTTTGACAAAACAAGCTTTGCCAGCATAGTAGACGCACTTGGCAAACACGGAGTCGATGAGACCATTATATACTGGGTAAGTAACATGCTCCGTCCGTAACAGACTAATCAGACTACAAGACGACAACCATCTCAGAGCATTGGCAACTAAAGGATGCCCTCAAGGAGGAGTACTGTCGCCTCTGCTATGGAATGTAGTTGTAAACGACTTAATTACCAAACTAAACAACCTTCACTTCCACACGGTGGGCTACGCGGACGACCTTGCAATCATAATTCCGGGAAAGTTTGCGAGCACCGCCTGTGATGTTATGCGAGGGGCAATGAAGGTGGTTGAAAAATGGTGTGACGACTACGGTGAACCCAGTGAAGACGGAATTGGTCATGTTCACGAATAAAAGATCATTAGGCGACTATCGGCTACCGAAACTATTTAACACGACACTGAGGCTCTCCAACGAGGTAAAGTATCTAGGCATAACCCTAAACTCCAAACTGAACTGGGGATCCCACATAGACAAAACTACAACGAAGACCAACATCATTTTCTGGCAATGTCGGAAAAGATTAGCAAAACTTGGGGACTATCACCGCTCATTGTTAAGTGGCTGTACACGACCATAATTAGGCCCATCATCAGCTATGCAGCAGTAGTATGGTGGACCAAGACAATCCAGGTAACGACAATTAATAAGTTAAGACGTCTCCAGAGGCGGGCATGCTGTGCAATCACCGGCTGCATGAAAACCACTCCCACATCAGCACTGGAGACAATACTTAACGTGAGACCACTCCACTTGTTTATACAACAGGAAGCTGCATGTACAGCCACGCGCCTAAGCATGCTGGGGCATTGGAGAGACAACAACTCCCCGCACACCGGCATCTTAGCAGACATACACAGGCACTTTCCGTACTTTGCAGCAGTAAACGACCTTATTCCTAAGACGTACGTATTTGACAAAAAATACAAAATTCAACTTTATGAAGACACCCCGGACCGTTGTCTGCATAAGGAGTTGAGGGTCTACACAGACGGTTCAAAAACCAACTGTGGTACGGGCTCGGGTGTCTTCTCCAAAGACCTGAATATACACATCTCGACAGCTTTGGGTGCCTATAACACGGTCTTCCAGGCAGAGTGTGTGGGCATCATCAGAGCTGCTGAGGCGATAGAATGTCGCGGGGTAAGAGAAAAACATATTCGTATTCTCTCTGACAGCGCTTCTGTCCTACAGGCACTGGACAACAATATAATGACATCAGGCTTAATTTACGAATGCCACAGTAAGTTGACTAATATTGCTAACGACAATAGATTGACCCTACAGTGGATTAAAGGACACAGCGGCTCAAGGGGTAACGATGCGGCGGACTGCTTAGCCAGGGAGTGGTCTAGCAGGACGGCCATTGGTCCGGAGCCAATTATACCCATACCCTATCGGCAGCTGCGAACCTGGATAAGGGAGCGCTCTCAACGACAACACGACGATTACTGGTCAAAACTCACGGACTGTAGGCAAGCCAGGGAAGCCGTTCCTAAGGTAAACCTGCAGCTAACACGTAAGTTAATCAGACTACCTAGACAAGCCCTGAAACAAATCGTGGGTATACTCACGGGTCACGGCTACTTCAACAAACACCTTTGTAATATAGGTATTTCTGACAGCCCTCTGTGCAGAGCCTGCCTGGAGGCGGATGAGACGAGCGCCCATGTCCTACTGGAGTGCAGAGGCGTTGCAAGACAAAGGACTTCTCTAATGGGAAGCCCGAAGACAATAATAGAGGCCTGCAGCAACATTCGGGGACTGCTGAGCTTTCTGGAGGAGCTGTGATGGCAGGACTGATGCCAATCCCCACGCAAAATAGGCACTAGGTGTCGAGTTGCGGAAACAGCCCGCCGTACTACTAAGACTAAGGGTGCGGCCAGAGTGCACTCAGATTCAGATTCTGAAAACAAGCGCGAGAAATAAACAGTGTAGTCTAAGCAGGTTGCCTGCTTTTTCTCGCGCTTTGTTTTCTGAGTCTGAATCTGAATCAGGAGTGCACTCTGGCCGTACCCTTCGACTACACTGTTTATTTCTCGCGCTTGTTTTCGGAATCTGAATCTGAGTGCACTCTGGCCGCACCCTAAGACTGGTCTAAGAGTTGCGCAGACGGTTGCAGCAAAATATCACACAAATTTTGTTTCACGATATCCACTATGAACGAATTTAAGAACCGTTTCACAAAATTCCGCCGAAGTTTTTTTGGGTAAATACAGCCGCGAGCCTGCCCGAGTCGCATGAGCGAGACATCGACACGACGATGTTAAGTATAGGGCGAGTGCGCCATACCAATTTGATACTTTAGTTGGTATACAAATAACAAGTTATTCATCAACAAGTTTAAAAAAATAAAAGGACTTTGTGCAAAAATGTATGGACGCTGCACCCACGTCCGCCAAGGCTCAAAGTATATCTGTTTGAAAGGTATTATAGTCATGATCTACTGTGCCAAAGCGCATCAAATTCCATACCGAGGGGCTTTAGTTATTTTAAGTTAAATAGGTACACGCACTATAATGAACGAAACAAGGGAATTCATTTAGTTAGTTCGACCTTACATAGGGGGCGCAGGTATTATGGGAGTACTTCACAAGGTGCAAGGGTGCCCCGATGTTATTCTGCAGCTAGAGTAAATCCAAAAATCCCCGCATGGATTGGGGTTTTTTGAAACTTTCTGTCGTGTATCACATAAATGTCGTTCAGTTACGTTGCTGGTGTACATATACGTACACCGCCAATAACAAATCGAAATACTTATTATTAACTGATTTCATAGATTTTTTTTTATTTACTATTAGCTCACAAAACAAGTTACAATTTAATATTAAAAAACAAAGCAATTACAATAATATAAAACTAAACTGAAACTCTAAATATGTGGGCATAACATGATAAAATTTTATGGGCTGAAGTTTAAAAAAGAAAAGAAAAAATATTTAAAATCGAATTTCAACAATTAAACAACAAAAAAAAACACTTAAATAAAAGTACAAAAATTGACCATTCAGAATTGCGCGTAGAGTCAAATAAATAAGGTCTATATTCTTCCGCATATACGAGCTTGCATTTCGAACTGTCAGAACTCTTTGACTTAAAGTTTAAGTCAAAGAGTTATGACAGTTTAAAAACTCTTGATTTAAAAGTGACTTTCAATGTTTAAATAATGCCTTATATTACTTTTGATTACGCGTTCATTTAACGGAGCTCCGTGGATCCGCCTGTCCAATGTACCTTTTGGACAGGTTTCGGCCACGATTTTGTTGGTGTATCTGAGGATTTATTATTGTTGACCTAACTGTAAGAAAATTTATCAATTAGTAAACTCTCGTTTACACAATGATAATTAATGGTTTGGATACTGCTATCTACTGCAGCATCCATGGCTATAGCATACAGCCTCTCTTAGTAAATTCCAAGATAAACTTCCTAAAGAAAAAGAGGCTTATGGGAAAGAGATATATGAACTCATTCCTGGTAAAGAAAGAAAATGCTGAAAGAGAAAATAACTTGAAACTCATCAACTGCATTCTTAATAAAAGGCCTAAGTTCAAAATAGATAAAGCAGTCTCGAAACATTTTCATGAAGAACAAGTTTAGAAAGTGAATTTTCTTTCTGAACTTGTGTATTAATTAATGATGTCCTAATCCTTCAATTAGCATTACTTTAAAATTTGTTTGGCTAATAGTTGTATTGGTAGGATTAAATATATGTCTATAGTTTTATTGGGTTGTACTTATTACCCCTTTAATTTTCTATTATATAAAATTACTAGCTGACCCAGCGAACTTCATACCGCCCTAAAAAAATAGGGGTTGTCTAGCGGACAAAATTGTGAATCTAAACCATTCTCAGATCCCCTTGAACACACACAAAAAATTTCATCAAAATCGGTCCAGTCGTTTAAGAGAAGTTCAGTGACATACACACTCACAGAAGAATTATATATATAAAGATTAAATACTATGATGAAACCATTGAAATTAATCTTAATGAACTACCTATTCATATAATTTATTACTGTGAAGTAAAATAAAATTGATAAATCATATAAAAAATATGGGTGCGTGTACTTAAGTACGCGCGTGAGAAGTTATACTTCTTTTTGGAATTATTAAAAAATAGTTTTTAATTGCATGCAGATAATTAATTACAATAATATGATTGGAAAAGGATAGTCAACGCAGTCAATAAAGTTCAGTTTTAATTTGAAAAATTTAATAAATAATCAAAATATTCAATTTAAATAAATATCATAAATATGAAAACAGTGATCAGAGGGGACGAGCGTCCCAACATGTGCGACTAAGAGATCCTATTACTATTTTGTTGGAAGCTTTTTTTCGAGACTTACGAGTAATGTGCGGTTTAGCGGCCGACTTCATAGTGTTACTTTTCTGTTAGTGTTGCGCGCGCAACTTAAAATTTCACTCTCATCATTTTTTCATAACGCGGCTAAAGAAGTATAACTTCAAAAATATTTACTATATCCAGGCATCAGACAGGAAAAGGAAATAAAATGAATTGCAAATATCTTTATTACCAATCGCAATACATGAGTTACCACTCATAATAATGATTTTTATTGATCGCTTTAAAACAATTGTTTTCTTTTAAGGAATCAGGAATATAATCATTTAGCAAACTTATATGGAATAAGCCACTATGTCATTTTCTAAGGAGTACAAAATGTTTATTATCTTTCACAACACTCTCTTTAATGATACCTTATCCTACAATTGTGTTGGCTCCCCTCAATTGTAGATATCCTGCTGTTATGTCCATTGGTAAACTACGAACAGTCGTGAACTCTTCTACATTACTATAAAAGAGCTTGGAATGTCTGTCCATATAGGGAGCTGGTAAACCAGATATATCAGAATACTTTTTTGTGGGTTTGAAGGTTGGAGGAGCGTTTATTGAATAATCTGAAAAATCAAGCAGGTATATATGTGTAGCAGAAACCAAAATTGACCTTAAATTATTCCATAAACTTACACAAAACTGCCTCGTTATGCCAAGGTAAAGCTCTTTCAGCAGTTAAAATTTGTTTCAAAGATCTCCACATACGTTTTTTACAACCACTTTTTACTAAAAACTTATTTTCTTTTTTGAATCGGAAACTTTTGTCATATTCAGCAGTCATTTTTGAACAAAACAAAAACACAAACATAGGCAATAATTATATGACATACTCAGATTTTTTGAAATTAATTTACCCGTTTTGAGAAGGCTAAGGGTACTGTACCCAAACAGCCAAGTAACGTTTAAAAAGGTATCGCAGACTAAGTAGCAATTTGTGTGGCCATTTTCTTTTTTTTATGGCATGCACGGTTTGTGCGTTCAGCCAATGTCAAGCCAAAAATAAACTGAGTATTCAACACGTATTCACGCTATTATTTTTCCTTAATCTCTTTTTTTATTCTGTGGATTTATTAATCTCTGTTTTCCAGCGTCGCATATTAGGGGGTTTTTTCACAACTCTGGGGGAAAAATAGACTCTTGGAGAAAATTTTGGGGAAATAGTATCTCTAGTGAAAATAAAACATTATGAGGAATTTCTGGGGCTACCACTTCTGCCAAGCACATCGGTTTTATACATTTACAATGGTTAGGGACATATTTGCCTATCGTGCCATGTCGACTCTCTAACCTCTGTCTCTCTCACTAACTGAAACAGGCCGTAGAAAGTTTCGTTCGCTACGACACGATACCCAAACGTTCCACGCCCTGTTTAAGTTTGCCATTTCCTAATGCTGCCGTAGAACGGGCGTGATATTTGATGAATATCGTTAAAAAGAAATAAGCAGACCATAACAGGAGTGAAAAGTGTCTTAGAAAATAACGGCGTGCGATAAAGTTTAATTTTTATGTTTTTTATTTGTAACAACGTATTAGGGTATTTTTTAGAAAACGTATCTTTTTGGGAACATTTTAAGAACATTTTGGGGGAAATTTTAAAATTGCGTCTGGCAACTCTTCTTTGATTTTTGGGAGTATTTGGCGGGATTCCATCGACTGCGGTTGGCGTCTTATTTTAATTATTCTTAAATTTGTTCATAGTGGATATTGTGACATAAAATCGCTATGATTTTGTGTTACAACCGTCTGCGCAACTGAAGAATTAGTGGAATCTTTAAAATATACGCTATTCCGGTCAAGTGGACGTGAGAATTTTATTGTAGTATTGACTACCTCACAGAAGCTTATCGAAAAGCCAGCTCGATACATTTCGGGCCAAACACTTCAAGAAACATTAGAATGCGTGACACCGACATTCTAATGTAAAAACAAAAAGAAGATTAATTTAATTAAAGACCAGGCTGTATAGGCATTGTTCCCTTTGCCTTCCCTAAAACGGGAGAACTTCAACAAAAAAAATAGATATCCATGTCCATGCGTATGGCTTAAGTTGAGGGAGGTTATGTTATGCTGATGTAGTTATATTTTCTGACAAAATGGATATCGTCAATGAAATTTTAGAACGTGAGCAGAAGAAAGCGGAAAAGTATAAACCGATAACAGTAGAGAAGCATTTAGATTTACAGTTCGACGTTGGGAGCTTGCTTGCTTTCGACACAAATGATCTGGATACCAAGTCAATCAAGTAAGTTGTTTGTTAAAGATTTGCTTACATGGTTCTTATAGTTTATGTCAGTTTTAATTCTAATATTCGAAAATATAAACCAATTATCTGTCTTTACAGCTCTCTGAAGGACACATATTTGCAATCATTATCAAGGGACAATACACAGTTGTTGTTGAATAAAATATGGGAACTTCCTACAGAACGGATTGAAGAAGCGATAGTAGTTCGCCTACCACCCCCAACTACAATCTTACCACGGGCAAAACCAGTACCAAAGCCTAAACCCTTGACAAAATGGCAGGAATTTGCTAAAGAAAAGGGCATTACAAAGAAGAAGAAAGACAAATCACAGTGGGATGAACAGTTACAGAAATGGGTTCCACTGTATGGGTAAGTTATATTAACCATTTGGTTACCTACTTTTATATATAAGTATAGTGAATTTACCTATTTCATGAAATATAAATCAAATATATTGATTGTCCCACAACTTTCCTACATGAGCCAAAGTACTTTAAATACTTTAGATAGAAGATTTTACATGTAAAATTTTACTAAATGTAGACATCCTTTTTATTTAAAAACAATAGGAACTGAAATCAAAGAATTTGAAATAATTGCTTGGAACATGACTTCGAAAATATCTGATATTTATAATAAACATCTATATATCTATCAAATTATAATTTAATATCAACATATTCTCGCTGGGCAAGATGTATTGAATCAAATGGTTGTCAAATTGACAAATGAAGTTTTGTTGTACTTAAAATACACACATTAAAAATTTAAAGTTAAAAACCACCATTTATTATATATATATACATATATATATATATATATATATATATAATAGTAATGACATAAAATAAAAATATCCAATATTTATAATAAATATTAATTTTTAATCAACCAATCAGACTTACTCTTTTAAGGTTAATAGAACAAAACATTTTTATAAGTAGGTAAACTGTTTCATTTTGTAATTTTCACTATTACAGAGTATAAAGTGCAATTAGTTTTGAGTTCAATGACCCCAATATTACTATAAAACAAAATTATAAAATGTTTTAAAATAATACTACTATAATAGAATATATCTCTATCAGAGCATCATATCAATATTTGTGTAACATAACAAGTTTTTGTATAAGCAATTGTAAAATAAATGATTGATAAGGATTTTAATTAATCCAAGGATAAATATAAAACTCTGCTTGGAACTCACTGGAAATTGAACCTGGTAAAGTAAAAGAAAAACTGTAACTTTACCAATAAATAGGCTCAATTTATTTTATCTAAATAACAGCAACCTCCAGTCCTTATAAAAGGTTTGTTCAATAATGTATGCAGAACAGTATGTGTGCTTTAAAGAACACAGAACTAAGTAATGAGGTTTGGTATATTTGGTATGCCAATTTTAACTACAGATGTATGTATGCACATAACTCTAAAAACTGATGATATTAAAAAATGAAATTGATTTCTACCCAAAAATATTCAGTTGTAGGCCTTATCAAATTTGATTGTAGTAAAAAATTGATTAACTAAAATGCTTTTGTAAAAACATTCCACAGATTCCGAAAGGCAGCAGCTGAAAAAGAGAAAAACTGGCTTATAGAAGTGCCACAGAACGTTGACCCAATGACTGATATGTATGAAAAGAAAGCCTCCGAAAAATCTGAGAAAGTAGCAAAGAATGAATTGCAAAGGCTAAAGAATATTGCTCGAGCTAGAAAAGTAAAGATACCCCGTGTTGGTATACCAGTTACTTCTGACAAGGCCTCCGCTACACAGGTTGGTGTTCTGCTTTTAATACATATGAATAAACTAAAATGTTTTGTTTATACTTAAAGTAATTGACAATAGTTCTATGTACATTCCCACTTTCTTTTAAGTCTTTTGTCTGTATATTTTTTTTATATATATTTAATATAAACTTGCAGCTATCTACTGCAGCATCCGTGGCTAAAGCATCTACAGCCTCTCTTGGTAAATTCCAAGATAAACTTCCTAAAGAAAAAGAGGCTCGTGGGAAAGGAATACATGAACTCATTCCTGGTAAAGAAAAAAAACGCAAGGCACCTATACCAACAGCACAAGCTGAAAGAGAAAATAACTTGAACCTCATAGACAGCATTCTCAATAAAAGGCCTAAGATTGATATAGATAAAGCAGTCTCAAAACATATTCACCAAGAACAAGTTCAGTAAGTAAAGCCTTCAAGTTTAGTTATTATATAGGGTGAAATTGAATGTTTCTATGAAACTTCGTGAGATTGTTGGGTTATGTGTATAGAGCAGCTATACTCTAAGTGTGTTCCGCGGAACCCTAGGGTTCCGTGATACCTCTGTCGGGGTTCCGCAAGAATTTAGAAATAAAAAAATCAAAACACCTCTCTCTGGTCGCTCCGCGGCTGTGCGGACTCCGCGGCCGCGCGGAGACAAAACGCTATGAATGTTATTTATTTATTTATTTGTATTTGTATAAGCTTGTGTTACATTAGCTGGTACAATATCTCATAAGTTTGGTCTCAACAATTTTATACTTGTACAACGCGTTCGCTCTAAGTTTGCCGGTCTGTGGAATGCGCGTACCCTCCCCCACGTGACAACAAAACTTATAATGTGTCATAGTTTTACCCAAATATCTAACGTACACAATTTTTATTGTTACAATTAAATAAAAAATTTCGAACGTCATACACTCATACCTATCGCCAGCGGCAAACTTAAAACGAGCGGGTAGTATACTTGTAAGCGCTCAGTCTCTTTGATAAAAGCCGCCTCTGAATTAGACGCTATAGTTGTCAACTAGCGACTTTCGTCTCTAACTTCAAAGGATAAAGTCGATATTGTTTACAACGCTATTTTTAAATTTCTGTTTTTATTTTTGCTTTTTGTTTATCAAAGGTGCCGACTCGAGTATTTTCGAGAATATTTGAGATCGAGTCTAGGACTAAGTATAAAAGCGGCGATCGCGCGTTGGCGTCGTCAGTTGATGATTAGCGTTCGGAGCGATAAGTTACTACCTACTTACAAGCTCGCTAGCGAGAAACTGGTGTTCATTGTTTTACTGCCTGCTGTATTCTGTTGTCTCAGTTTTATACATTTCTTCCCTGTAGGTTCTAAATTTAGTCTCTTATACGCAGTAACGATTGTGCATTATTTAAACCCCACTATCCTGACTTGTAACATTATAAATAAAGAAGAATGGAACGTTGGCTTAAAGGTGTTAAACGTGTTCCAACAACATCTTCTAATGACGCTGAATGTTCAAAAGCAATGCGCGCGGAGAATTTAGCAATCACCGATCCAGAAGATGATGCCACGAGTGCCACGACGTCAAGCTCGACGGTTTCAAAGACGAAAAAAAGGAAGTATGATGAATCTTATATCAGTTTCGGATTTGTTGATTCCAACGGCTCACCTCTCTGCATGCTCTGTAGTAAACTGCTTCCTAATAGTTCCATGGCACCTGCCAAATTGCGTCGACATTTAGAAACCGTACACCCCGAGACTAAAGACAAGAATAAAGAATTTTTTGTTCGCAAAAAAGATCAGTTATTAGAAAGTCAAAAAAATATGATGCATGTAACACAAACTACCAACGAAAAGGCCACGGAGGCATCATACTTAGTTAGCTATCGCATTGCACAAGCAGGTGAAGCGCACACTATCGCTGAGAAATTAATAAAACCATGTGTATTAGACATAACAAAATGTATGCTTGATGAAAAATCTGCAAAGCATCTTTCTACTGTTCCGCTATCAAACGATACTGTTTCACGACGAATCCATGATCTGGCAAGCTACGTCAAACAAGAACTAGTTACACGTCTACAAAATACACGATTCGCTTTGCAAATGGACGAGTCGACTGATGTCGCTGGTTTGGCTATCCTGCTGGTTATTGTGAGATATCCATATAAAAGTTCTTTTGAAGAAGACATGCTTATGTGTTCATCGCTGCTTACAAACACTACCGGGGAAGAAATTTTTAATAAAATAAATATATTTTTTGAAGAACATAATCTCAGTTGGAACAATTGCATTGACATTTGTACAGATGGGGCCAAGGCGATGACAGGTAAAACAGCAGGAGCAGTGTCACGAATGAAAAATAAAGCGCCTAATTGTAGTTCCAGTCATTGTATTCTGCATAGACAAGCACTTGCGATGAAGCAAATGCCGTCTAATCTAAAATTAGTTATGGATGAAGCGGTAAAAATAATTAATTTTATCAAATCACGACCGCTACAATCCCGATTGTTCTCATTATTGTGTGAAGATTATGGCAGCAAACATAAAACACTGCTGCTCCATACAGAAGTGCGATGGCTGTCTCGGGGAAAAACTTTAACAAGGCTATTTGAACTTAGAGCCGAGTTACAAATGTTTCTTTCAGCAGATACTTCTTTTAATTTGAAGGACCGTTTGTATGATAAAACTTGGTTGTTCCGATTGTCTTTTATGGCGGATATCTTTCAAAAACTTAACGAATTAAATTTATCATTGCAAGGTAAACAGACAACAGTGTTTCAGGCCTATAATAAAATAACTACTTTTAAAAGAAAATTAGATTTTTGGATCATTTGCATTGGTAAGAAAGAAATAGAAAGTTTTACGTTACTCACTGAGTTTGTTAGCGAAAACGACTCAGAAATGTTTGAAGATAATGTGTTTGAAGAATTGGTCCAATATCTCAGTTCGATGCGCGCATCTTTTGAAAAGTATTTTCCCGAAGAACACAATACAAAAATTAAAGTGAACTCCTGGATTCATAATCCTTTTTTACCCAACTTGGAAAAGCCTGAAAACATGTCAAATGAGATATATGAATCTCTTTTAGAAATGTCATCAGACACAAGTATGGAGTCATTGTTCAAAACGACGCCTCTTAATGATTTTTGGTGCAGAATCCAAGATGAATATGCAATGCTTGGCCAAATGGCTCTGGATATTCTTCTCCCGTTCCCAACTACATATTTGTGCGAAACAGGATTCTCTACCTACGCAGCCACGAAAACAAAATATCGCAATAGACTGGACGCCGAAGCTGATATGAGACTCCAACTTTCTTCCATCAAACCTGATATCAAGCAATTGATGAAAAATAAAAAACAGTTTCATACCTCCCACTAGTTAGATTTTTTCTTTTTTAATGTTTTCTATTATTGTCCTTACCAAGTGGTGAAGTAAATAATAATTAGTAACGGATACATTGTACTTTTATTATGCTGATTAATATAGAATACACTTATAAAAATAATTGTTTTATTGTAGGGTTCCATCAAGTATTTTGCTTCCCAAAAGGGTTCCGTCATTTAAAAAGTTTGAGAACCACTGGTATAGAGTATGCCTGTCTTTTTTCGGATTTTTTTGAAGTATATTTTTTTCATGTATTTATTTATAATTTGTGTATTTTTATGTCCTTTCCTCGTTTTGAGTAGTTATTCATTTTAAACAAACAAACTTACATATCCAGTGAAAAACAACTAATAAATAAGCACTTCTAAAAAACGGAAAAACATTGAAATTCCACCGCGGGTCAACGACCGACCGCGCCCGCCAGCCGTTGAGTGAATAGGTACCTAACTCTATACAGAGCTCAACTGACTCGTTTGATTCCACACAATAGGTACAATAAAATCGTCTTAGATGTCTTTATTGAAATTGAAATAATAAGCACAAATGTCATCTTTTCTTAAGCAGAGAAAAACTTTAAAAGTTAATAATAATTTTGTCACGATTGGAAATAGGCAAATGTTAAACAAAAAGAAATACTTATTGCTTAATACCCCAAGAATGAAATTTATAACCAGGTATTCAAAAGTACTTACGAGACCGGCGATTTAGGTAGGTACAACGAGGAACGAGGAACATATTCATTTTTTTCACTAGAACTTTTTATCAAATCAATCACACTGGTAGTACACAATTAGTTGTTTCTAATCAAAAAGTATTTACACTAGCAATAAAAAGAGACTTAAATTATTATCTGCAAAATTGTTGCTCTAAACCACCATTTTGCTGCAAACAAAGGTTGCCTGTTTGTGGACGTGTCTTTTCACCTTTTTTAAAGTGTCCCTATCACTACTCACTGCACAAAATGCAACTTCTATGGTTTAGGGACTCTGATTTTGATTGATTGATTCGTAAACCAAACCTACTTCGTCACACTCGCGATAGCAGTACACCATCTCTAAATATTCTTGGTTTGTATACCGAGGCATAATGAAATTATCACAGTGTATGTCACCAAATCAAAAGATGCGCACGCTCACGCGCGATTGATATACTTGCGACTGTGTTATTTTAAGCTAGTGCTTATTTTAAGTTGCTTTATAACTTCTATGTAGACGTGTTTAAAATGAATAATTACTCATAAGGAAGAAATGACAAAAAAATAACCAAATAAAAAATTAAAAAACGAAAAAAATTATTTTAAAAAATCCGAAAAAAATCAGGCATACTCTATACACGTAACCCATCAATCTCACGAAGTTTCATAGAAACATTCAATTTCACCCTGTATATTAGTTTTATATACAAATCAAAGCAATAAAATTTGCAAATTATGTAATGGTCTCCTGTGACTATAATTATCTATTAAATGTTTTCAATTTTTTTCAGGAGGTCTGTTGAAAAGAAGAACATGAAACCAACTAAAGGGAAAGCAAAATCTAAAGGCAAGGGTAATGTGACTAATTTTTCAGCCAAGAAACCAAAGGCTGGTAAGGGTCAAAGAAATCCTAGTAAAAAGAATCCAGGCAGGAAAAGGAGGTGATTTATATTTATTTCTAATATACTGTAACATATATTTCTGTTCATTAAAAGATATTAAAACTTTATGATATAATTATTTCACTACACAGTTGTTCAACTATATGCATAAAAATTAAAACAACCATCTTCTTCAATAATTCAATTGATCAATGTCTAATAAATTAAATTAAAAAAAAAATGTTGTTTGGCACTGCTTTTTTACGTGCCCTACAAAAGCGGTGTTTTCTAAGGTTCCATACTTAAAAGGAAAAAAACGGCACCCATATATAAAGTTTCATTTTATTTTCTGTCTGTCTGTCTGCCTGCCTGCTAAGCCCCTTTATCTCGGGAAGGCGTGGAGGTATCCAGTTGAAATTTAAACCAGAAGAGGTATTTGTGGGCAAGAACCTGATATAGTTTGAAGTTATTCAAACACTGATTATTTATAAATAAAACGTTTAACGGGTTAAAACATGCACTTTATCAATGTATCAGTCGCACAGTGACCACGATGAAACTGGTGTAACCAGGTACCTGTACCTGGTCAAATAGTCTGGCTGGATAAAGAAAGTTCGAAAACTTAAACTTACGTATGTATTTAACGTACGTAAGTTTAATTTATCACATTAATATTATAAAGGCGAAGTTTTGTGAGTATGTATGTTTGTTACTTCTTCACGTCTAAACGGCTGGAGCGATTGTAATAAAATTTGGTCTGGAGTTAGCTGACACCCTGGATTAACCCTAATTAACCGCAGGTAACACCGCGGGGCACAGCTAGTTTATAATAAAACGCCAAAATTTCCCCTATATGGTTGACCATGTAGGGGAAATTTTGCCTAAGCCCACATACCGCTTAGTAAAAATATTGGTCAACTGAACCTCCGCGAGTTTAGATGGTATATTATTGAAGCACACAAACGAAAGCCCAAACAGATATTTTATTGGTCGGACTCTCTTATGGTCTTGAGGTGGCGTCGCAGTGACGCCTGGGCCTACATTCTGTAAAATTTTCACACGCGCAGATCCGATGCGGTTCCGCGCCAATCTATATGGGAAACTCGCGGATCCGCCCGTGAAAATTTTACAAAATAGCACTGCTGCACGCTTAAAGCTTTCGTTTCCTTTCGTTTGACCATAGATATCGAAATTTGTAGATATGTTCCTACAGCCTTAAACGTAGCTAGACGATGCTACCCGACAAACCTGGCTATCATCCTCTTCACGGTGGTTCAACACTTCAACAGCCCATCCTTTTATTACCATCATCGAAATCGCTGTCCGAACTTAAATGTAACGTCCCCCCGGTTATAGAGGAACTTTAACGCAATTCAGAATCGGTGGGAACCATCCGTTATCCGTGCGGTGACGGAGAAAGAATACAACTCACCGCCCCTTTTCTTCCCGTGGGTGTTGTAAGAAGCGACTAAGGGATGTCGGAGCTTCCATCCGCTCCGCTCTCGAGTGGAAGTTGTCGCGAAGGATTCGATCCAGGGGAGGCATCCGTGGAACCGATGCCGGGAGGACTGCATCGACCCGTCGAAACGGCTGTCCCGCTGGCCGCCCGTGGCACAGTACAGGGGCCCAAGCGTTCCTAACCAATTCGCGAGGCTGCCCCATCATGTCACGCATAATCTCGAGGTGGACCGTCGTGCCGGTTGGTGACCGGGGCGTGAGGTCCCGGCGGCCACTCCCGGGGGGGTGCGGGGGCCCTTCCGTCCGGCGGGTCGGCGCATCTCCTCTGCAGGCAGTCAATCGGGAAAACAAACCTCCCTTATTTGCCCGGACTCTTCGCGACGGCGTCCGCTCGTTTTCACGTCTCTTTTTTTTTTCACTTCCACCATGGCAGCCTCAATAGCAAAGTTTGGATGTACAGCGGTGCACACCCCCACGCCTTCAACGCTGTTTGAGGTTGAGTTCTGCAACATACGCGGACTCCACTCTAACTTCAACGCTGTCCACCACCAGCTCGAGACAGCACGGCCAGCATTGTTGTTCCTGACGGAGACACAAATACTTCCGCCTGCTGACACAGGCTACCTTAATTATCCCGGCTACGTGCTTGAAGAGTCCTTCAAAGCGAAAGCCGGTGTCAGTGGCGTAGCATAGGTCACTATCACCCGGTGCGGATTCCAAATTTGCCGCCCTCTTATTTTTGCAATCCATTATAAAAAAATTGAGGCATGGCAAAAAGAGTACTTTTATTGAATAACACTAACCTAAGAGTGAAATTATCATTTTTTGACATAGAGTAGAAGGTAGACTATCACAATATCACTTTTTTTTTATATATTTTTTTTTCTCTGTCTGCGACCTCCGCACCCCCCGCCCCCCCCATGCTACGCCACTGGCCGGTGTATGCCTGTATGTTCGGGCGGATGTTTGTTGTCGCCGTCTCCGCTGCTTGGAAGATCCCTCCTTCTCCATGCTGGGGGTACACGTCGACTCTGGCCTCCGGGCCAGAGTCTACGTGTGCCTCTACAGATCCCACAACGGCGATGTTGAGACAACTCGACTTTTTGAACACCTTAGTCGGGCAGCAGATGACGCGCAGGAGCGATTTCCCAATGCAGAATTGGTGTTTTTGGGGGACTTTAATGCTCACCACAATTTGTGGTTAAGTTCTTCCAAAACTGACCATGCAGGGATCTCTGCTCACACATTCGCTCTCACGCATGACTTGAAGCAACTGGTTGATCAGCCCACCAGGATCCCAGGTATTCCAAGTCAAGCGCCTTCTTTACTGGACCTTCTGCTCACGACCCATCCACAGGGCTATCAGGTTGTGGTAAGAGCCCCCCTGACTGTCCGACCACTGCCTGATATCTGCCAAAGCACCACAGGCCAAGCCTCCGCGTCCAGCAATGGTCAAGCGCCGAATCTGGCATTATGGGTCGGCAGATTGGGACGGAATGCGCGATTACTTTGCGTCCGTCCCTTGGAAGCAGCGCTGCTTCAGTGACAGGGACCTGTCGGGCAGTGCCGTTGCCATTACTGAGGAGATTATAATGGGTATGGAATACTATATTCCTCATTCTGATCTCATCAGTAAGGGCACTCGTAACCTGTGGTTCAATCACGACTGTGCTGAAGCAGCTTCGCGTAAGCAAGCGGCATATCGTGATTGGATCAGAGGCCGCGCTCTCAAGGATCCCGGGGTCGATTCACTCAAAGCAGCCTACAATTCTGCTTCCAAGGCCTGTAAGAAGGCTTACATCAGAGCGGATGCCCAGCGTGTTGCACGTGTTGGCCAGGAACTTATAACGCATCCTGCGGGCTCCCGTAGCTACTGGCGTTTGGCCAAGGCCGTGCAAAAAAACTTCTGCCAGCCCTCGCTGCCACCTCTGAGATTCCCAGACGGAACACTAGCTCATAAGCCGCAGGAGAAAGCTGATTTACTGGCAAAACTCTTTACGGCTAACTCCCGAATCGATGATTGCAATGCACTACCACCATCATTACCTCACTGTGGCACAACGATGCCTGATATTTAAAATCAGGCAGCGTGAGGTTCGTGCTGAATTGCAATCACTCGACGTCCGGAAAGCTAGCGGACCTGATGGCATCCCAGCAGTAGTACTTAAAAAATGTGCAGCGGAGTTGTCTCCCGTGCTCACGCGCTTGTACCAATGCTCGTATTCTTTGGGGCGTGTGCCGGAGACTTGGAGAGATGCTAACATGCAACCGGTGCCCATAAAAGGGGATCGCTCAGACCCGGCAAACTACCGGCCAATAGCAGTTACCTCAGTTTTATGTAAAGTTCTAGAAAAGGTCCTTAATAACCATCTGACCCGCTACCTAGAGGATCACTCCCTGATTAATGATCTTCAATATGGATTTAGACCGAAACGATCTGACGGGTGATCTTCTAGCGTACTTAACTCATATCTGGGGTGAGGCTATCGACAAGCGTGGCGAGTCGTTGGCTATCAGCCTTGACATTGCCAAGGCGTTCGACAGGGTCTGGCACAAAAGCCTTCTCTCCAAGCTTCCGGCATACGGTCTGCCAGCCAGTTCTGTTCTTGGGTAGCTGACTTCCTGCATGAGCGTAGAATTCGTGTCCTTACGGATGGTAGCAGTTCGCGGTTCATGTCAGTGAATGCCGGCGTTCCCCAGGGCTCCGTCCTATCCCCCACTCTCTTTCTGCTGCATATCAATGACTTGATTCCTCTTGGGAATATTCATTGCTATGCAGACGACAGTACAGTGCATGCGGGGTATCTCGGACAAGCAGCGGCTGGGCAGGCAGTAACCAAAGAGAAACGGGAAAATCTTGTCATTGAGCTCAATCAGGCTTTGGACCACATTTCCGAATGGGGTACCAGGAACTTGGTTGAGTTTAATGCCAAGAAAACTCAGGCTTGCGCTTTCACGGCGAAAACATCGCCATTCCTTCCCCTTCCATCTCTTCAGGGCACAACACTACCGCTGCAGAGCAACATTTCCATGCTCGGTATGGAAGTTCGCTCAGACCTGAATCCAAAGGACTACATCGAAACCGTGATCAAAACAGCTTCACGCAAACTCGGAGTCCTGAACAAGGTGCGGCGTTTTTTCACGCCCGATCAACTGTGCTTGTTGTACAAAACGCAAGTGCGGTCCTGCGTGGAATATTGCTCGCACCTCTGGGATGGCTCCGCCAAGTACTTGCTCGATGCTTTGGATAGGTTACAGCGGCGCGCGATCCGCATCATAGGCGATGAGGAGGTGACGAAACACCTTGAGCCTCTTCAATTACGCCGTGACGTGGCGTCACTAAGCGCGTTCTATCGTTTGTACCACGGTGAGTGTTCTGAGGAGTTATTCTCTCTTATCCCACCTTCCCCTTTCCTTCAAAGGACCACGCGCGCTGGCCTACGTTGTCACCGTTTTACTGTGGCCACAATTCCAACGCGTACAAAGAAATTTGGTGACTCATTTCTTTGACGCACTATCCGTAAATGGAATGCTCTGCCCGCTCACGTGTTCCCTCCCTCTTACAACCTGGGATCCTTTAAAAGAGGCGTGAAGAAGCAACATGCA